GCACATTACTATGATTACTATGAATGAGAGTCAAAGAACAGTCACAAGAATTTTGGCTGAGAGACACATGCCTTTACTGTCTGTAGTCTTGCTGACTTACCTATTAAATCCAGGTTATTGAACTGCACTGATGCTATTTGTAAGGTTTCCCCTTCAGTATTGTTGGTTGGACAGTTAGGACTGATGATCTCAAACTCTGCAGTGATCAATGCTTCTGTGTCATCCAGAGAGCTATTCTGTCTTTCAGTGTCTAAATTTAATGCACCTCCACCTGGATCTGAAGAGTAGACAAAATAAATTCATGGGTCTCAATGTACTGTAAACTGTTTTCACTGCTAGAAATGTTCATGTTTTTTTTTTACTTCATGGCAAAAAAAACATAAAACCACAGACTGATTCGCAAAATGCAGTTACAGTAATCCTTGATGATAATATCAACACCATAGTTGCGTTTTGATGTTGAACCATAAAAAAGGGAAAATTAAATTTAAATCCAAATCAATTGATTTTTGTGGAATATGTTCCATATGTATCTTTCGCACATTATGCGAGAACAGTGAACGGAAATTACCTAATTCTCAATAAGAATGCAACTCCTGCAACTTCTACTAGTACAGTAAGACTTAGAGAGATGCAGCTTCTATTAGTGATGCATCTTTAATTATAAATGCGGCTTCTAACAGGAATGCATCTTCTTACAGAGATGCAGGTTCTATTAGGGATACAGCTCCTAATAGGGTTGCAGTTTCTAATAGGGATGCAGCTTCTGTTAGGGATGCGGCTTCAATTAGGGGGATACAGCTTCTAAAAGGGATACAGCTTCTAACAGGAATGCGGCTTCTTACAGAGATGCAGGTTCTATTAGGGATGCAGCTTCTAATAGGGATGCAGCTTCTGTTAGGAATGCAACTTCTAAGAGGGATTCAACTTCTAATGGGGATGTAGCTTCTATAAGGGATGTAGCTTCTATGAGGGATGTAGCTTCTATGAGGGATGTAGCTTCTATGAGGGATGTAGCTTCTATGAGGGATGTAGCTTCTATGAGGGATGTAGCTTCTATTAGGGATGCGGCTTCTAAGAGGGATGCGGCTTCTAAGAGGGATGCGGCTTTTAATAGAGATGCAGCTTTGAACAGGGATGCAGCTTATAATGGAGATGCAGCTTCTAATAGGGATGCAGTTTCGAATAGGGATGCAGCTGCCATTAGGAATGCCGCTTCTATTAGTGATGCAGCTTCTAATAGGGATGCGGCTTCTGTTAAGGATGCTGCTTCTATTAGGGGGATGCAGCACGGTGCAGCTTCTAAAAGGGATACAGCTTCCATTAGGGATACAGCTTCCATTAGGAATACAGCTTCCATTAGGGATACAGCTTCCATTAGGGATACAGCTTCTAATAGGGATGCAGCTTCTAATAGGGATGCAGCTTCTAAGAGGGATGCAGCCTCTAAGAGGGTTGAAGCTTCTAAGAGGGATGCAGCTTCTAAGAGGGATGCAGTTTTTATGAGGGAAGCAGCTTCTATTAGGGAAGCAGCTTCTATTAGAGAAGAAGCTCCTTATAGAGATGTAGCTTCTAATAGGAATGCAGCTTCTAAAAGAAATGCAGCTTCTAGGAGGGATGTTGCTTCTGTTAAGGATGCGGCTTATAATGGGGATGCAGCATATGACAATGTTGCAGCTTCTAACAGGGATGCGACTTCTATTGAGGATGTGGCTTCGAAGAGAGACGCAGCTTCTAACAGGGATGCAGCTTCTATTAGGGATGCAGCTTCTAAAAGGGATGTGCTTTTGTTGGGGATGCAGTTTCTAACAGAGATGCAGCTTCTAAAAAGGATGCAGCTTCTATTAGGGATGCAGCTTCTAAAAGGGATGCAGCTTCTAAAAGGGATGTGGCTTCTGTTGGGGATGCGGTTTTTAACAGAGATGCAGCTTCTAAAAAGGATGCAGCTTCTATTAGGGATGCAGCTTCTAAAAGGGATGTTGCTTCTAAAAGGGATGTGGCTTCTGTTGGGGATGCGGTTTCTAACAGAGATGCAGCTTCTAAAAAGGATGCAGCTTCTACTGGGGATGCAGCTTCTATTAGGAATGCAGCTTCTAAAAGGGATGTGGCTTCTGTTGGGGATGCGGTTTCTAACAGAGATGCAGCTTCTAAAAAGGATGCAGCTTCTATTAGGGATGCAGCTTCTATTAGGGATGTGGTGATACAGCTTTTAACACAGATTTTACATGTAAATAGTCTAGAGAATGACATACCAGGTGATGCTCTCATGGCAGCAAATGCTGTAGCCAAAGCTGAATGTGATGCTGATTTTGTAACAGGTATAGCATATCCTGATGACTCTGTTGGTGATGCTGGTGACTGTGGACTCACTGGTGACTGCTGGGATGCAGGAGATGATGGATCACTATCAAGCATACTGCCACTAGGAATATCCATACTGTAAACACAGAAAATAATGCACATTCACTGTGAGATAGCGTCAGACTGACAGTCATTACAATAGAACTTGAATGTTGTCTCAAATATTCATACACTTCTGTAATTAGTTTCTACCTTCACTAGTGAATTTATAAATACATGTATTGCTCCGATTGTTATCAGTTTAACCACATTGTATAAACTGTAGAAACGGAGATCTAAAATAGACATCACATACAAATGTGATTACCTTGTAGGTGATCAAAGTTTTAGTTGACTTTTGACGTCAATGTCAGAATCATTATTAGTTGCTCAGATAGATAAAATGTTTTGTGTTTTATTCACAAGCAAAAATTATCCCATAAATATTTCAGAGAGGCTCAACTAAAAAGCGAAAATTTACACTAGAATTAATTATACCTGAGATTTTTATGGGAAGCCATCAAGAGTTCAAATCCACCACCAAATGTTGTGAGTGCATCTACTAGGAGTAATCCATGTACAGTTAATGATACCGATGTGTCAAATGGTCTCTTTGTTAGATTGGCTTTCACTCCTGATACTTGTAATTCAGCAATACAACGACCTGTAATGAAACAAGATATGAATTGCAGCGACAATATAAATCTCAATCTCTGAGACCAAAGAGTGCTGGTGTTTAAACATTATTCAGATCATATAAAGCATAAAACGACTTGTCTTGTGCTTAAGAGTATTGGAGGCATATTTACGGTACGGTATATAGTTTTGTTTTGTTTTTGTTTTCGTTTTCAGACAGCGTCCAAACAGGGACTAATAAGTTTAGCCCCTTAAAAAAGTAGCCTGGCGACTAATACAGGTCGTTTATATAAAGCTCTTTTTCACATGCTTACAAGTTGCCCTTTTTTCAAAGAAATGTCTTACAGCATATTAGAAACACACAAAAGACATATTATATTGTTTTGTCTGTCTCATCAATGTACCACACCTTGAATAAAAGAAATAGATTTCTCATATTTCACAAAATTTCCACCTTTCAATGATCAATATGTTTGTTATCATTTATCAGCATAACTAACCTCTACTCTGTACTTCTAGGGAAACTTGATCCACTGAGAACTGCATTAACAGCTGTCGAGACTCTACTACCAATTCTTTACTGGTCTGCTGAGAATAGCTGTTATCAACATCCAATAAGCTAAAAACAAACAGATAGCAACATGTGCAAAATGAAACAAAAACAATGAAAAACTGTTTGAGTCTTGAGTCACTCTCTGTACGATGACATTGGTCTCCACAGTTTGTTTGCCACATTCACCCATAGCAACATGTGCAAAATGAAACAAAAACAATGAAAAACTGTTTGAGTCTTGAGTCACTCTCTGTACGATGACATTGGTCTCCACAGTTTGTTTGCCACATTCACCCATAGTACAGTGGCCGTGGATTCCCTATTATTGTCAGTTACTGTTCAGTAACATTTAATATGTCAGGCTACATAGAAGTATACTTTGAGAAAAAGTCAGGGTCTTTCTATAAGAACTGTGTGAAATGAATTTATACAATAAAACACTACATACAGACCAGGACACACTGTCTGATTAGCAATAGTATAATTAAATAATAAAACCCTTGACTGTAGTGAATTCAAACACTGAACTTAAAAGACATTTATTTATAACTCCTAGCAATGACCAGTGATCATTCACTAAGTTGCAGATGTTGGGATGTAAAAATGTGACTTATCAAGGGTAGCAACTTATTGAGGACAAACAGACAGACTGAATAACTTCACTCAGACATGCTCCTCAGTTGGAAACTAGACATAAGAATGTTGGATTGTTCACATCAGTGTTGGTTTCAGGGCTTTATCAAAGCAGCACTGGTGGAGAAATGTGTAAAGTCTCAAGATGACACCTTGAGCCAAGCAAATAACACTTTTTGTATGTCAGTTATTGAGGGGGCAATGTTAAATGCTGATGACATGGACAGGGTCCAAAAAACATTGGCACTGATTACCTCACATAGACTCTCTACCGGTAATGGCAAATTGAAAACTGAAACAACCAATCATAAGCTATTTTCTTTCAAAACTAGAGCTAAAATGACAATAGAATTTTTTCGAGAGCCACACAATTAGCCCCAACTTAGTGGATATCATGACTTTAAATACTGAGGTGCTACTTATTAAAGAGAGGAGTCAAAATATCACCTTGAGTGACAGTGACATGAAAGGTGTTTGGTTGGTTGATTCACTTACCTGCTACTTCTACCTCTACTGTAATCTTCCAAATCAACCTCACTGAGAATATTATGTATACGTGTTTGACTTGGCGAAGCTAATTTCTTGTCTGATTTTGGACTGGAGAATAAATTGATACATTTCCGTATAGCATGGATCTAGAAACAAAGTTAACATTGTTAGAGCCTGCATGAATTAATACATTAATAATCCAGTAAATATCTGTGATGATTAACATGATACAAGTAATCTTTAGTTTATTATACATACCTTGTTCTCATTGACATGCAATACTAGTTTTGGTAGGGTACCAGATAACGTAGCACTGGGCCACTGAGGATCAGTAGTAGATATAATCCTTCTTTCTAACTGCACTGATATTGTAAATCTATCTACTACATGTACTGCACTTGTGCCTTTCATGTAAGCTCGCTTCCAGTTGTAAGACCCTTTAGCCACAATTACTTGTAGATCAGACATATCTAGGGTGTACCTGTGAACATACCAGTTAAACAATATTATTATTACGCATGTCTAAAACAGTTACTGCCATCAATGTCATCAGACGTCATGTCTAAAACAGTTCCAGCCATCAATGTGTTTAGACGTCATGTCTAAAACAGTTGAGCCATCAAAGTGGTCAGATGTCATGTTTAAAACAGTTGCACCATCAAAGTGGTCAGATGTCATGTCTAAAACAGTTGCACCATCAAAGTGGTCAGATGTCATGTCTAAAACAGTTGCACCATCAAAGTGGTCAGATGTCATGTCTAAAACAGTTGCACCATCAAAGTGGTCAGATGTCATGTCTAAAACAGTTGCACCATCAAAGCGGTCAGATGTCATGTCTAAAACAGTTGCACCATCAAAGTGGTCAGATGTCATGTCTAAAACAGTTCCAGCCATCAAAGAGGTTAGACGTCATGAATAAAACAGTTACAACAATGTGATCAGATGTCATGTCTATAAAAACAGTTACAGCCAACAATGTGCTTAGATGTCATGTCTAAAACAGTTACAGCCAACAATGTGCTTAGATGTCATGTCTAAAACAGTTGCACCATCAAAGTGGTCAGACGTCATGTCTAAAAAAGTTGCACCATCAATGTGGTCAGATGTCATGTCTAAAACAGTTACTGCCATCAATGTGATCAGATGTCATGTCTAATACAGTTGCAGCCATCAATATGGTCAGATGCCATGTCTAAAACAGTTCCAGCCATCAAAGAAGTTAGATGTCATGTCTAAATAAGCATGCATGTATGCATGACATATATATAGTTCAGGAATAATAACAGTTCCTCTGTCAATTTGGCAAGCAGATTCAGTCATCCCCTTATAAAAATTGAATAAGTGTTCAAAACGTCATAAAAAAAGGTGCCGCCGATGGTGCGCATCACACAATCTTTTTACTAGCTGTCAAACAACTTGTCAATTCAAAACATCTACGTGCAAAAGTTAAAAGGTTGACGCGCGGAAAATAAAAGTCAACCCGCCAACCGTCTCCACTCTAAACCACGCCGAGAAGTCATACAAAATTGGAACTGTCGGAGGTGACTCGTTCCGAACACCTCCTAGAGAAAATCAACTCCAATGGTGGCTAGAAAATATTGACCACGAGTTAGAGTAGTATGTTTGCTGCTCTGTGAAATTCTGGATATACCAGTTTACATGCAATGTTTTGAATTGTCAAGTTGTTTGACAGCTAGCAAAAAGATTACGCGACGTGCACTGTCGTCGCCTTTTTTTATAACGTTTTGAACACTTGAACTATTTGAGCAGTAACAAAAATATTTGTGTGGAAACCACTTCCTCTAGGCAGACTGTGAGGTAAACATAACATGGCTTCATAAGATGTATCAAGATGTCATTATATTATTTACATCATGAAGTAATCCAGCTCTAGTAGTTTTGAGCTGTTACCTGTCATATAGCTTATCTCGTAAAGTGCTTTCTGATATACTTTCATCGGCAAAATCAATGGAAGTAATATCACCACGAGCAACAGTATCTTCTTCAAGTGGCGCCATCTCACCAGGAGACGAGAGTGGAGTTGCGAAGTCATCATCTGTAAGAGATTTTGAGATTCACCTTAAGATAAGTAAAATGTTAAACGGAGATAAGACTATGTTTGTTCAGGTTCTGGGATTTTTATAATCTTAATAAAATGAGAAAGTGTTGATAGGTACTGATTATAAACCATAAAAATCATTGAATGTTCTTTCATTTTCAAAAGTTTGTATCACATGTTCCCATTTTATGTGTATTGCAAATACATGTATAGATACTATATTTATTCTATTGGAATCGCATCTCCAAATACAAGTGTAAAAGCGTATGTAAACCAACAGTTGTATTATTGTATGCTGGAATATTAAAATATGATGATAAACACACCTCTGCATGTAAGCACATGTGCTACTGATACAGAAAATACAGTAATGATTTCATGTCAATGTCATGAGTAGAAAAAATATCTTTTGGTACCTACTATAAGGTTATTACGAAGATACCTCAAAGTATGCATGA